GTCATACGATATAAAGTCCTTTGTGACTGGCTTCTTGTACTTCCTATAAAATGTTTTCAAGATACATCAATGTTATAGCATGTGCCACCACTTTATTTCTTTGTATCTCTGATTTGTATGGGTCAACCAAATTTTTAATCCATTCATCAGTTGATGGACATTTGGGTTGTCTGTATGTTTTGGCTACTATGAAGAATGCTGCTGTAAATATTTGTGTGCAAATTTTTGTGTGGACATAAACTTTCATTTTTCCCAGATATATACCTAGGAATACAATTTCTGGCTACATGGTAACTGTGTTTAACCACCTAAGGAGCCATCAGACTTTCCCAGCACAACTAAATTATTTCACATTCCCATCAGCCATAGGAGAGTGATAATTACTCTACATCTGTGCCAATGCTTATTATAAATTTGCTATTTTTAAATTATAACCTTCTTTGTTGGTGTAAAGTATCTCATGGTATCTTACGGTGGCTGTTTGCTTGGATTTTAACACTTCATAGAATTCAAGCTTTGGAGCAGTTTGGATTTACAGGAAAATAATTACTTAGTATCAATAGTTCCATATGCTATCCCCTCAACATACACACACAATTCCTTCTATTGATATCTTACATCAATATCGTTCTGTATTAGTTTCCTTGGGCAGCTATAAAAATTACCAGAAACTAAATGACTTAAAATGACAAAAATCTATTCACTATTCACTACAGTTATATACAGTCTGAAAACAGGTGCCAGCATGACCATGCACCATGCCAAGGCTCTATGGGAGAACCTGTTCTGCCTTCCCCTAGTTTCTGGCAATTACCAGTAGTCTTTGGCAATCCTTGGCTTGTGCCTGCATAACCCCCATTTTCCCACCTCCATCTTCACATGTCTGTGTCTCAAAAGACCATTATAAAAGGATGCAAGTCACTGTATTTGGGGCCCAATCCTACTCTGGTATAACCTTAGCTTACTTAATTATATTTGCAAAGACCCCATTTCCATATAAAGTTACATTTTTGGTTTCTGGGATTTGTTTTTCAACATTTTTCTGTAGCATACAATTAAAGCCAGAAAAAGTTAATGTTTTTAATCATCAATGAATAGTACTGTTGCATTATGAACAGCAAAGGTCCTTGCTTATTCACATTTCCTTTGGTTCTTGACTACTATCCTTTTCTTCTCATCAGTTCTCAAGTTATTGTGATATTAACACAAAGAGAATAGATTCAATGTAGTTCAGAGATACAATTCTAAGAATCTCTAGAAACTCATTGCATTTGGTTTTCACCTTTCCTTAACCCTCTCTTCACTGTAACAGTTTCCTTGTGTCTTTTCTTTGTTTTGATATTTTTTTAACTTTTATTTAATGAATATAAATTTCCAAAGGACAGCTTATGGATTACAATGGCTTCCCCCCCATAACGTCCCTCCCACCCGCAACCCTCCCCTTTCCCACTCCCTCTCCCCTTCCATTCACATCAAGATTCATTTTCGATTCTCTTTCTTGACAGTCAGGAAGGCTATTAGTTTCTGATGACCATGACTATGTGCACAATGGCCCTCTATTAGAATATTTGGTGCTTTTCTTGTGATTAGCCTGGGGTTATAAATTTTGGAGAAGAGCAGAGTCTTTGGGAGAAGGACCAAAAAGTGCTGTTTTCTTTGCGTCATATCAAGAGTACATGCTATCAGTATTTCTTAACACTGTTGGTGACGACCTTTGCCTAAGGTTTTGTTTGTCAAGTTTCTTCAATGTGAAGTTATCTTTCTTCCCGTTCCCATCCTGTAATCTTTGGGAGGAAGTCACTATGTGTAGGTTACACTTACTTGAAAAGGGACTGCTTCTCATCCTTCTTTTAAAATCTACAAAATACTCCTAATAAAATGACCAACCAATTCACAAGCCTGAGGTGGAGATTTATGAATTGTTTTGAAAAATTATAGAAATTGGCCGGCGCCGCGGCTCACTAGGCTAATCCTCCGCCTAGCAGCACCAGCACACCAGGTTCTAGTCCTGGTCGGGGCAACGGATTCTGTCCCGGTTGCCCCTCTTCCAGGCCAGCTCTCTGCTGTGGCCGGGGAAGGCAGTGAAGGATGACCCAAGTGCTTGGGCCCTGCACCCCATGGGAGACCAGGATAAGCACCTGGCTCCTGGCTCCTGCCTTCAGATAGGCGCGGTGTGCCGGCCGCAGCGCGCCGGCCGCGGCGGCCATTGGAGGGTGAACCAACGGCAAAAGGAAGACCTTTCTCTCTCTCTCTCTCTCTCTCTCTCTCTCTCTCTCTCTCTTTCTCACTGTCCACTCTGCCTGTAAAAAAAAATTATAGAAATTAATACTTGTACATAGTAATAATTTAAAGAACATTGACCATTGTTAGCATTATGATTATCATTATAAAAGCTCTTAGCACCCTTTGCCTTCTATTGAAATAAGCTTGCCTGTGCCTGTCCTCTCCTTGATATGGTGATTTCTTGAGGGTAGACATATACATGTCAATATTTCCATACAACATAGAATTCCCATAACACTATATTCTGGGAAAAGTGCATGCTAATTTAAATAAAAGTATACATATGCATGTGATTACTTAATAAATTCTTTCCTGGAAGCCACTCTCTTTAGCTTTGTGTGGGTACTCTGAGAAAGCAGAATCTCATTGTTGACTTTGGAGCAGAGGCCACAGAAATTGAAACACCTTAGTGGAAAACCAACACTCCCAAATAAGTAATTTTTAGAAACTGACATTCCATGATTACAATTCATCTCCTTAGTTGCCTGAATAGTTTTCATATTCAATTTCCAAGTTCACATAAATAGGCACTTCTTGTCTAAATAATCAGTCACAGGCCCTTTAGGGGTCAAGAATACGAGTAACATATGGTCCTTGGTCCATGCCTTCATTAATCTAACCATCTACTTGAAGACATAGAAATAAGAACTCTAGTATGAGTTAAAATAAAATATAACTAAAGTTTTTTGCTCATGCACAGAAAGTAACAATTATGACCATAGTAATCCTGGAAGATTTCTTAGACTTAGCAAAATTCCAACAAATATAGAGAGTACTGAAAGCAATTCCACTCTATCCAAATATCTTCAGTATAGACCTAGATCTGACTAATGCCAATAGCAGAAATTAGATAGTACTTAATGAGAAATGTCTTAACTGTTTTAAAATTTACTAGGCTTCTATGTATAAACTATTTGATCACCACCAAATCTGAGAGATTCCTCCTGTTCATAAAATGAACCCTTATAAGAATAATCAAAGATGGCTAATCCTTACTAGTTAATACAATTTTGGTTTTAGGATTATGGGAAAGGAAGCAAAACAAAGAGAATGGAGAGTAGCATGAGGCTAAAATTTAACTCAAAATCAAATTGTAAAGCATTTTAAATAGCAGTTTATGAAGTCAAGGTTTTGGTAAGAAGACAGTAAATAGCCAATCAAGATAATAAATTCCTTGGTATGTTCTAACTGTGTCATATGGAAAAGAGGAGAAATCCATAGTGTTGGTGGAGGAAAATGTATGAGGTTTAGTTACACATATTTAAAGAGATAAGACAAGGAAAAGGAAATGGCAAGAAGTTTACATATTATGACCTTAAGAGTGAAAAGAAGTATGCACACAAAATTTAAACAGATAAAGTACGTGGTGCAGAGAGCCTAACCATTCCAGCTTTCACGTGCTTCTTCTTTTAGTAAAGGTGTTTCCCACTTGTGTTATTCCCAATTAACCCCATCTTAGGGGAAAGACTGGAGGCATTTGAAGGTGTTGGTATCCATTAGACATTAATAATAGAGGAATCTGGGTGTGGGATATATGGAAATTCTTGGAATGATTTCACAATTTTTGTTTTGTAAAGGTAAAACTATTCTGAAGTTTAAGAACATAAGTAAATAAGAAATAACTTTTGGATTTGGCTTAATATATAATAAATACATCAAGCAGGATTAAGGAGTTTTTGGTAATACAGACAAGGTGTATCTATTGCTGACTTGGTCACAGTTTATATGAAAGAACTTCCAAAATGTGTAATATGAACATAACACCACTTATAGATTTTTTAAGTGTTTCACATTCAAGTAGACTTATCTTTTAATTCCATTTTCCATGATTTTTTTTAAACATACCCTCCTATAAGTCACACTCTGAGTCCATGTTGCCTCCATCTATGTCATCATGAGTTAAAAGAAGCAGATTAAGTGGAGGAAATCCATGAAAAAGACAGGGTAAACAGGGTAAAGGTGTTAATGGGTTAAAAAAAAACCTCATTTTGAGAACTTCCACTTTGACTACGACCTTGTCTAAATATGATCAGAGTCGGTGAACTCAAAAGGCTTCCATAGCCTTGGCAACTCATGACAAGAGCCTAGGGTGATTACTGATGCCATAAACAAGAGTGTCAATTTATTAAGTCAACAACAGGAGTCACTGTGCACTTACTCCTCATGTAGGATCTCTGTCCTTAATGTGCTGTACATTGTGATTTAATGCTATAACTAGTACTCAAAGAGTATTTTTCACTTTGTGTTTCTATATGGGTGCAAACTGTTGAAATCTTTACTTAATATATGCTAAACTGATCTTCTGTATATAAAGAGAATTGAAAATGAATCTTGATGTGAATGGAAGGGGAGAGGGAGCGGGAAAGGGGAGGGTTGCGGGTGGGAGGGAAGTTATGGGGGTGGGGAGCCATTGTAATCCATAAGCTGTACTTTGGAAATTTATATTCATTAAATAAAAGTTAAAAAAAAAAAAAGAACTACATGAGTTTGGCCAATTAAAAAAAAAAACTCATTTTGATCATGGTTTGTAGAATAGATTAGAGGAGAAAATGAATTAAATAAGGAAAATTAGGAATGTTTCAGTCAATTATAAGAGATAAGGCACTTAACAAAGCCATACCATCCAAAGTCTTTTCTTTATCATTATAGATACAACTGGAGGGTACAATAGCTTTGGTAATTTTCTACTTAAACATTGTACCTACAAAGATGTGAATGTTAAATTTATTTAGAAGGCACCCCTGCAATTCAGTCTCTAGATTCACCATTCTCCATTACAGAGAAAGAGCTGAGTTTCAGATTTAATGGATGAAATAATCAGTTTTCCAGCCGACTTAGAAGAACTGGGACCAAAATGGAAGTCTTTTGAATTCTGCTCAGCCTCCTTTCCAAAGTTCCAGACAATCCAGGTCTCAGGGGCTTGTTGCCAACTGAAGGAACAAATGAGGCAGGGTTTTAGAAAGTGGAATCAGGAGCAATAACATAATTAAAAGGAGGACAGTAAGTTATCGAAAATATAATTTGGCCAACCTCACAATTTTACCAAGAAGAAGCCACTGAGCTAACAGAACCACATGAGCCTGTGGAAAAGAATAAATGTACATAAATCTTTTAAAAAAATGTGTTTGCCTTGAGACGTATCCCCTTCTGGCCACCAAAGCATGGTCTAACTCTTTTTTTTATCTTCCCCAGACATCACAAATTTGTAACTAGTCTGCTGAATTACAGTGGAAACTTCAGAGTGAGCATTTTCCATAAGCCATACCTTAGAATCATTATTGAGATTTAAAAAAAAAACTATTCAGGATCAATGTGACACATATTATATGAATAAGTATAACTAAGAGACAGATAAACTGTCTGTATCCGTGATGATGACTCCTTTCTGTGTGAACTAGAGACAGTCACATGACCGATTTCCTTACCCATAAAATGCAAATGATGGCATAAACTTGTTTTACTAGGCATTTCTGAAGGCTTATGGCAACATGCTTTTAAAATTGAAAGCTCAATGTGAATAACATTGCACTGTAAGTTGTTAATGTGTTCCAAAGATCTTTCAGTCATACATTAAAACATCTTTAATTTAGGATAAATGAATTCAAGCTTTGTAAGAATTTGAGCAGAAGCTAGGCAGAAGATTAATTTATAATGCTTTGTTTTGCATATAAATATTATACGTAGTTATTGTAGAAAATCTGTAAAATCAGAGTCAAGTTATGAGGAGCAGTAAAGCAGAGTGGTTAAGTAACACTTGGCTCTGCCATTTATGAGCAGGTTAGCACTATATTTTATGGAATATCTCTGTGAGAAGGCCACTGTTTGATCTTCAAAAGGAGCAAATAGCAATGGTTACTTATAGTTGTGGTTTAAAATTTAAGCTCTTGTTTTGAGCTGCAAAACTCCTACAAATAGTTACTAGCTCAGAGTGTGTACTCAATAAATGTTAACACTCTTATTACTATTATTTTTCTTATTTTAATGACAATTTGTATAACTAAATTACATGTGCAAGATATAAAGGGTAATACAGTTTATGAAATGAAAAAAATAATTGCTCCTATGTTTCTTCTTGATTTAAACTCTCTTTAACCCAATGTCATAGGGATAACTGTTCCCTGAATTTTGTGTTGATGGTATCTTTGTAATATTCCTCAGAGTCTTTAACCATATATTTTTATACTCTTATATAGTAAGCAGGTTTATTTTCTTCATAGTACTATTTTTCTGAAATCTGTCCATGTCAATTCATGGAGTTGCAGTTCATTCTTTGCCTCTGCTTTGCGATACACCATCGTATTCTACATAAAATGCCTCAAATGAACATTTACATTGGTTCTAGCATTTTTCTTTGTTTTATACTACAGATGATAGTATTATTAATGTTCCTGTGTTTCTTATTGCACCAGTACAGAGTTTTCTCTAGGGTATTTACCTAGAATAAAACTGCCAGGTTATAGAATAAACATCAAAATTTGAACATGGTTAGATTAAAAATGGAACATTATCCATAATTAGCCTTAAGCAGCAGTTATAAATTGGAACTCTTCCGGGGAAATTAAGAGTATGGTCACTACAGACCTTCTAGATAATGCAAAATTGCTTTCTAAAGTATTTCAATTTACACAGCTACCTGCAAGTAATTTTTATTTTTGATTACTTTGTAAGCCAGCTATGGCAAGTTAGTAACATGTGTTTTTCTAGCAATTAGCTATTTTATAAATTTCCAAATTTACTGATTGTTAAAAAAATTATCTTCTATTTCTTTTCATTTGACGATTTGTAAATATGCCTACTTTGTTGTTTCCTGGATGATTGTTATGCTTACTGCATTTTTGATTTTTCAATCTTGCAAGAGATCATTACCTTGCAAAGACAAACTAAAAAATTTGACAATCATTTCTTTTTTTTGTCTTTGTCATTAAAGTTTTTCTAGGTTATTAATTCCTGTTATTACTGCTGTTTTCCTTTTACTTTCTTTCAGTTCATTTTGTTCTTTTTCTAGCTTCTTTGGTGCTTGACAAGTAACAAACCTCACTTCACTTTCAAAATACAGACTTCAGTGTTTAAGCCTACAGATTTGCCTCTAAAAATTGCTTTAGTTTCATCTCATGTTATTTCTGGGTATATCACTTTTGAATTTAGCTTTAAATAATTTCTATTTCAAGTTTTGTTGATTTTGTTTTTACCACTGATTTTTAATCAGAGATGATTATTTTTTTCAAGCACAGCTTTATTGTGTCTCACAACTTTGTGACTAAAAACTTCAGCGAGGGTACAGCAGGTAATTTTATTCTCCAAAAGGCTTCCAAATGGGTAGCTTATGGCTGGGCTCAGGTGGGATCTACAGTGATTTCATTTTATCTTGGCAAAATGTCCAGATGGCCCTTATCCATTTTCTTGTCTTTTTCAAGTATCTCCAAGAATTTTTTTAAAGATTTATTTATTTATTTGAAAGTCAGTGTTATAAAGACAGAGGAGAGAGGGAGAGAGAGAGAAAAGGTCTTCCATCCACTGGTTCACTCCCCAGTTGGCCGCAACGGCCGGAGCTGTGCTGATCCGGAGCCAGGAGCCAGGTGTTTCTTCCTGCTTTCCCATGTGGTTGCAGGGGCCCAAGGACCTGAGCCATCCTTTACTGCTTTCCCAGCCACAGTAGAGAGCTGGATGGGAAGTGAAGCAGCCAGGACTTGAACTGGCACCCTTATGAAATGTCCGCACTGCGGCTGGCAGCTTTACCTGCTACGCCACAGCACCAGCCCCTCCACATATCCTTTCACGCAGGCTTAGGTTACCCCAGGCATGGTGGTCTCAGCATAGCTGGACCTGTGATATAGAAGCTCAGGGTGTAGGGCAGTAGATACAAGACTTCTTATCTTCTGGTCCCAGACATTCAAGTTCATGAGTTCTAGCCACTTTCTCTTAATTAAGAATACCAGTAGGGTCAGCCCAGGTTTCAGGAGAATAAATTCTACCTTGCAATATGAAGAGTAGTAAAAGAATATTTGGTTATCCTAGTTCCATCACACTCAGCAAAGCTCCGTTATATCATTGCATCCACGGGAAGGTTCCAGATCTTCCAGTTATGTACTCTCCAAATCAGTATAATCAGAATTGACTTTTCACTTTGTGGTGGCCAGTGGCCAAGAAGGTAAATCAGGGGCTGGCATTTTGGCACAGTGTGTTAAGTTCTAGCTGCTTCACTTCCAATCCAGCTCCCCACTAATGAGCCTGGAAAAGCAGCAGAGAATACTGCCACTCATACAGGAGACCAGAATGGAGCTGCTGGTTTTGGCCTGGTCCATCCCTGGTTTTTGTGGCTGTGCAGACTCAGTAGATGGAAGATTCTCTCTCCCTCCTGTTCCCACTTTTTGGTCTGCCTTTCAAACATATAATGAATGTTTAAAAAATGCCAACTGCTTCTCCCAAACCATATAGGTATGTTATGTGACATGTAGTCAGAACACCCATAAAATGCTTCTCTTTGGAAACGGTAATATGAAATTAAAAATAATCACTTGTCTAGAGTAATTCTGAACCTACAGGTGAGAGAAGTTCCTCCTTTAGGCACTGACTCCCTGCTCTGGAAAGAGCACCTTCTTCCATTTTTCTTCATGGCTTCATTCTCAGAGGTACTTTCTGATCATTCTTTTTTCTTTTTAAGGCTAATTATTTATATTTGGCATTTCTTCTATTTCTGCTATTTGGCTCTTTTTTGTTGTTTTAAATTTTATCTAAAGTATACAAGTTTAAAATATTTCAAATATTCAGATTTAGGAACATAGTGATTCTTCCCACCCTACCCTCCCTCCTTCCCATGTGCCAACCCTTTTTCATCCTCCCTTATTCCCACTCTTAATTTTTACAAAGATCTATTTTGAGATTACTTAATATTCTTAAGTTCAACCCTACCCTAGGTAGTGTTCAACAAAGAGTATGAAGCAAAAAACCACTGTTCCTCAACTGAAGAGACAAAGGCTGTAAACACTCACATGTGAAGTGACTTAGAGACAGAAGGTCTAGCTTGTTAGAGCCCTCTTCTTACTCATGAAAATATGGTGGCATAAATGTTGTTTCCAGGTTTGAACAGTCAAATATTTTGCAGTTAGGCCTAGTTCATTTTTTTGGCTTTTTTTTTCTGTCAATTTCCTATGCCAACAATGCAATCCAAAAGTCTTGGTTAAGTTCCCAGCTAGTCTTTGCTGCCTCATTCACTTGCTTCTGCGGCTACTCACAGTGATGCTGAGTGGCTGATACTCTCAGACCACACCCTTCAGCTTCAGCTTTGGCTGACATCTGCCGTGAAGTTTGAGTCTTGATACCTATTTGTTGTATGAGGATTTCTTCAATACTATTTCCTGATATTTATAATCTAGAAACAATCCTGTTTTTCAAACTCAGGAGTCCTCAATGTCTGCACCTTCACTAATTTTATTTTTACTTGCAAATCATCCATTTCTTTCCTGGGTGGCCAGCACACACTAAAAGTCAAAATCAAACCCATCTCCTACCCTGGAGCTTCCAATTCAGTAAGCCCATGATCACTCTCCCAGGTACAGCAGCCTCAGTTTTACTAAATGTTTTCCACTGTAGGTTATGACCCTGTGTTGAAAGCTTCTATATGACCCCCTCATTAAAGTTTCTAATGTATGTTTCCTGTCTGCTACTAAGCAACTGAGCCAACATCTCACTTAAGGATCCTAATTTCTCTGTTAGATCACATAAGTAATAGTAGGTGCTGAAATAAGTAACCTGAAATCTCCTCAGAAGAACACATGACATCACAGTGCATTGCTGACATCACAGTGCATTGCTGACATCACGGTGCATTGCTGGTCAGGAGGCAAGTACAGTCTGCTTCACTCAACTCATTCAGACCCCTGGGATCCTCGGAACTGGAACTCCAGCACTTTCAACGTGTGCTTTCCTAGTGGTCCTGGTAGGCTTCTGATTTCTAATGTGTGTGTGAGGGGAGGGTGGGTAGAAAAGCTGGAGGTGGTAAAGCTGCCTGTAACTGCCATGTGTGGGAAGTGGCAGGTGACTGCGATATTCCATAGTTCCCTAGGCAAGCACCATGCCTATCATCCTTCCTGAATTCAAGGGGCTGAGGAAAATGGTTTAGTTGTGAGAGTAAATGGGGTGATGACCATTTAGCTAGTTTCTGCAACAAATTTTAAACATGAGTTTTAAGTGATTTCCAGAAGCAGAGTAGTTTGGGGTATCTAGACCCATAGCTAATTAGCAAAATGTATTTTAATTTTCATTATTCTCTAAGTAATCTGAAATTAGTTTACATTCCCCACATGATCTAATGGTTTGATAAGAGATTTTTCTCCTTATTCTACAGATGATATTTTCTTTCATTTTTATTAATTGCTATTTTTATGTCAGCCTGAGAAAAGAAAATGGCCTATACAATTTATGTTATTTAGAACTTAATGAGGCTTATGTTTGGCCTAATATATAGTCATTAAAAACTAAATGCTACAAGAACAGTTGAAAATAAGTTAAATAAGAAAATGGGAGACTTAAAAACTTCCAATTACTTCCATTTCACTCAGATTCAACCTCTCTGCTCTGAATGATACCCGTCTACCTCCCACCCACTTTCCTCCCATGGATCTGGGTTGCTCAGCCACGCTGGCCTCCTGTCCGTTGCTGCCCTCTCTGTTGGCATCTGCTCTCCTGGCAGATGTGTGTGGACCTCCCCTTTGCTTGTAATTTGCTCTGGTTCATATGTCCCTCTTCCTAGAGCATTTCATAGGCCACCCCAACCACATGCATAGTACATTACCTTCTTATATGCTGTCCATAGAATTCCTCATGATCTGAAATAGTTAACATATGCTGTCCATAGAATTCCTCATGATCTGAAATAGTTAACTTTACATTACCTGTGCTCCTCATCATATAATTTCATCCTACTGCTTACAAAAACACTGAGAATATAAAAAGCCAGTAAATAAATCCATGTTGAATATAGATACATTATTGAATATAAATAGATATGATCTTGCAGTTTCTTATCCAAGCTTAACCTCTGATACAGAGGTTATGAAGGCGATTCATTCAACGATTGCTATTATTCTTCCTCTCTCCCTTGGCCCTTTTCTTCCCTATCTCTCCTATCCCCCTCCCTCTCTTTGGCCATGCCCTCTTCCCCTTATTTGGGGAGGTTTGTTCTATTAAGGTAAGATGTGCATTCAAAAATTCATTTCTCAATATAAATCTTTTTTCCAGGAATTGGTAAACAATTTTTCTTTATTCCTATTTATGGTGTTATTTCCACCTTTTATCTTCTACTGTGTCTTTGATTTTTATTTTGATAAAACAATGGCTAGAAATGTCTCTTAGAGCGTCAGTTACTAGACTTACCAACTCTAACGGAGGTTTCCCTGTGCCCTATCCTTCAAACAATGTTTTAAAAATAAACAACAATCTATCTAAGATCCCAGTGACAAATTGACACTTTCATGCAAATCCACTTTTCCAGGGTCTTTTCAGCATTCATTTGCATAGACTTGCTATGCCTGTAACAAATCGGTCTTAATCTCTCTATAGAAGCTGACACTCAAGAATGCACTTTTGGTGGAGTGACACAGAGTTTGCCTATTGTAGGAACGATTTGATTCTCATTAAAACCCACTTTTAATTGCAACTTATATACCCTCAAGTATCTCTCTAATTAGCTCAAACTAATAATGCTTCATTCTTAATTAAATTAACATCACACTAGGGCCAGCTCATTTTGGACAGTGCACGCCAGAGGAAAGGGACAACTCTAGTAAGTGGCTCCCTCATGGAGGCGAGGGGGTGGGGCAAAGCCTTTTTCCAGTGAAGAAAATGAAAACCGATTTACACTGCGAGATGCATTTCATAAACACATCTCAGGAAGCAGGGCTGGGGCCCGGGGAAATGTCCCCTGATTCAGGTCCCTAAGGAAAACGGCAGGATTCTTTCCAGGATGCTCTGTGTGGAAGGAGCAGAGTACCTCCTTCAAGCTGATGTTCGTTTGGAATGAAAACTGCCAGAGTGGTTTATGCACATCCTGCCCTGTGTCCTGGTTGGTCTTGATTACTCTGTTCAAGGTAGAGTCTCTTAAATTCTGGGCCAAGTACAAGACACAAGCCTCCATGTTTGACTCAAAAGAAGAAGCCTAACTAAAGGAAGCATTGGGGATTCATGGAGGATTCTTAGAGAACTGTTTTGTTTGACATTAGCTCTGTTCAGAAAAAATGATTTTTTCTGGTGTCTATCCTCTTGAAAGTTATTAATGAAGGCTTATAACAGTTTCAAGGATTGTTGACCATGATTTTTGAGTGACAATGGTTAGTAGGCGTGTAATTTAGATTTGAATGAGATAAGTTGTTTTTTATAAAACTAATAATGCTGGGAGCCAGTGCTGTGGCACAGCGGGTTAAAGCCCTCGCCTGAAGCACCAGCATCCCATATGGGCACTGGGTCTAGTCCAGGCTGCTCCTTTTCCGATCCAGCTCTCTGCTATGGCCTGGGAAAGCAGTAGAAGATGGCCCAAGTCCTTGGGCCCCTGTACCCACATGGGAGACCCAGAAGAAGCTCCTAGCTCCTGGCTTCGGATCATCACAGCTCCGGCCGTTGCGGCCATCTGGAGAGTGAACCATCGAACAGAAGACCTCTCTCTCTCTCTCTGTCTCTACCTCTTTCTGTAACTCTGTCTTTCAAATAAATAAAATAAATCTTAAAAAAAAACTAATAATGCTTACCAAATTTCAGCCCCAGTGCTAGGCATTTTAAGTTCTTGAACCCCTAACTCACCCTGCAGAATCTATAGGAGTACATGTTATTTCCACCTCCATTTTATACATAAGATAACTGCAGTTTAGGAAGGTAAAGTAATTTTCCCAGGTATATATTTTTAGTCAGTTGAGGCTCGAGAGTCAGAAAACAGGCAGCAAAACTCCAGGAACCATGTTTTAAAATAATTCTGTGAGAGGGTGGGTGGGTGGATAAACGGGAGGATGGATGCATGCAGGGAGGGATGGGTGAATGAACAGATGCCTAGGTGACGTGTGACAACTAAATGCATGCACTCTGAAGTATTAGGTGGTGTCTGACAAACGTAGGGAACTCAAGTGTATTTAAAAACTGGATTCTAAGTTGATTTTTAGTGATTTTCTTAAAAAAGATTTTTTTTTTTTTAATCTCAAAGGCCCTGATTGCAAGTCTGTCTTCTACACAGTCTCTGAACTTCCTGGGTGCTGTTGGGCAGTGTAATCCTCCACTAGGAGGCAGGCCTGAGTACATGCGGACTCGCCTGTTCTAACTGAGCAGAGTGGGCATTTGATGCTGCTCCTCTGTCAACACCATCTGAGTACCAAATTAATGATGCACATTATTTCCTTCCCTCTCATTCGGAGCAAGGACAGCGTACGACCCAATCCTCAGAGCAAAACACCCTTCAGCTTACTTACAGGTAATTGTATTGCTTATAAGGCTAGGCCTTGTTAAAATACTGCATGCTTGCAAAATCTTCTAATAATTGCTACAAATATTCACCAGAGGGGGAATGTTTATTCACTTGCTAAATTTCTAATACTGTTCTCTGTAATGGTAATATTTTGCTAGTCTCTTACATTTAATTTGGCATTTGTCCAATTGTAAATTTATGCTTTTAAGGAAACAGTGCAGAGTTTGAATGTTTAGCATCCCATTCATGTCATTTATTCTAGATTTAATACCTATCAGCCTGTTGGTTGTGTGGTTTTCTAATGAGAATTTTAGAAAATGCTTTGGAGACTCATTACAATTTGAGCTTCTTTCTTTCCATTCAAATGAGCCCCATTTTACATACAGCAATTTTTGCCACTGAATGAGGTGGTTCCAGAGAATACAGGTTTTTCTCAGTCCCAGGAGTCTTTCAGGGTTCATGGAAAATGTGTATTACAAATGCAAGATTTCAAAAGTTTCATACACTGAAAGAAAGTTGTATTTTAATTTCATTTCCCACAAACATTTTGGAGTATCCTTGAAGAGCCCAAGTACCAGTGGACCTGACAATACCAGTCATACGTCTGACATTAAAGCTCACCCTTCTAATCGGTGAAACCTTTCCCCAATTTCTTTATCTTTGTAGACTTTCTACCTCTCTGTAATTAAGAGGAACATTGATATGATTATGATGAATACTGATGTAATCATATATGTAATTGTAATATATGTATATGAGAGTGTCACGATCCCTGTGTTGAAACTGAGATTCACAAATGTCAGACAACTTCTCAGTTATTCTCCAGACTGAAACTTGGGGTCTATATTCAAATGTATATCCTCCACTCAAAAGCTCCCCGTTCTATTTGTGTATCCCTGAAGGCACACTAATACCTTCATCATTCTTCTCCTTTACCCAAATGCACACATTCCATATGTGAGCAGATGTTACTATTAAAAACTTCTCAGAGGCTTTCAACCCTGTGGTTTTATTTTCACCTATAGGACCTTACAGAATAATTTTCAATTATCTTTTATATCAACTATTTCAATTATTTGGATATAGATTAAATGGCATAATTTCTTTCTCTGCTATTACAAAATAAAACTTGGCTAATTGCTTTACCCAAGACCTTGAACATCATTTAGTTTGAACAGATGTCATGTCCATCTTTTTTGGTCACATTCTACTTATTTGCATGTTCCTATTTCTAGACCCTCTGTTCCTGTTAATACTACACAACATGGATTTGTTTTTGTTTTGCTTGATTTGGCAGCCACATGACAAGGTTAACTCATGTCCCTTTTACTATGGGCTAAGTTTCCTAAGTTACTCTCACATGTGTTGTCCATGAGGCACTTCTACCTTGCATTTGTACAGAGTGGAAAATACTTTGATTCAGATGTTTCCTATCTGTCATTTCAGACACTCCCTCCAGACACTGCTGAGTACATCAACTCATTCCCCTGCCATCTGGCTCTTGCCTCCCACATCAGGGTTTATTGATTGCAGGAATGGGGAGCTTCAAGATTTAACTTGAATTTCTGTTAGTGCAAATCAGAAATGTGGGAGGAGTGAATGGCTTTTCAAGCCATTTCTGACCAATAGGATGCAAGGGATGATGGATAGTTAAACCCACACCCAAGACAAGCTGTTTGAGACTCAGTTTATGCATTTATGAATCTCAAACAGCAGCCACGAGTCATTGTCCGTCATGCCAGCTCAGGGAACACGTTTCTGTTGGCCTTCCTTTCTTCCCTATTTCCCTCTTTATTCTTCATTCTTTCTTCTCTTTGACTTTATTTCTTATAGTGTAATTGTATGTAAGTCTTGATGTCATGTGCTGTTTTATGGGACAGATCATTAGCATCTATCTCCTAAGTTCACTCTATATTTTTCATTTGAATTATTAAATTCATAAGAGGTTCTAGTTATTTCATCCAGAATGTTGGTTCTTCTCACCTTCATGTTTTTGACTGGGTAATAATTTTCAGATACCTGAAAAGCCATGGACCAAAATGATACTAACTGGAAAATATATAGTTTGGGGGCCAGTACTGTGACATAGTAGGTTAATATCCACCTGTGGTGCTGGCATCCCATATGGCACCAGTTTGAGTCCTGGCTGTTTCACTTTTGATCCAGCTCCCTGCTAATGTGCCTGGGAAAGCAGTGGAAGATGGCCCAAGTGCTTGGGCCCCTGTCCCTGTGTAGGAGACCCAGAAGAAGCTTCTGGCTTCAAATTGGTACAGCTCCAGCCATTGCTGCCATTTGGAGAGTGAACCAGCAGATGGCAGACCTCTCTGTCTGTAACTCTGCCTTTCAAGTAAGTAAATAAATCTTTATAAAAATACATAGTTGGGGCCGGTGCCGTTACTCACGTGGCTAATCCTCTGCCTGCGGTGCCGGCACCCCGGGTTCTAGTCCACGTTGGGGCACCAGGTACCAGTCCCAGTTGCTTCTCTTCCAATCTAGCTCTCTGCTGTGGCCTGGGAGGGCAGCAGAGGAAGGCCCAGGTGCCTGGGTCCCTGCGCCCACATGGGAGACTGGGAGGAAGCACCTGGCTCCTGGGTTCGGGTCGGTGCAGCGCCGGCCATGTCAACCATTAGGGGAGTGAACCAATGGAAGGAAGACCTTTCTCTCTGTCTCTCTCATTGTCTATAACTCCACCTGTAAAATAAAAAATTATAATAAAAAATACATAGTTGGTCAATTCTTTTTAATGTCTAGATGACTTCCAAACCAAACAAGTCCTTTCTGGTACAGGAGAGTAAGAAAATAGCTCAGTAGACTTGGGCTTATACTGGGTGAGGGAAAAAAGAAATACCATTTTCTCTCCAAAGTTTCTCTCCAAATTTCAGTAGGCAAATATAGCAGGATTCAAACACATATTATCCTGTGATAGGTGTCACTTTCCATTCTTCTTTGGAAGTTACACTTGGCAATCTGTATCAATTTCCAGGATCTAATCTGATTTTAGTGAAAAAATTTTGTCACCAATGCTTATTTTTAAATTGTAGAAAATTTATATGATTATAGGCTGCTGACTTCTGTTAAAATTAAGCCTTACAACTTATTAAACATGACCATATGCTTAAATAATGTGGTGGGAAGGAGTATTAGCTATTTCCCAATTCTTGTTGACCACTTAACACTTTTCGAAAGAGGAAGATGAGGCCCAGGGGGCTAGAAGAGCCTCTGCTAGGCCACCTGGTAAAGAAGCTGCTTAGCATGGATCCAATTCCTAAGTCCAAGGGTTTGTCACAAAGCTAGTGTCTGGGCTGGATAAGAGTAAAGGCTTCAGGTTCTAGTCTCGGGAATTTCCAGTGGGCATAGTCCATTAAACTAGGGAAATGAGGCTGAGAAGAAAACACAGCATTAAAACATGGTGCAGGTGCTGTAGCAGTTGTCTCTTTCTTACCCTTGAATACAAGATTCCTCTCTTACCCTCATACACCGCAATCCACTTCACCCCATTTTCAATGACTGCAGTTCAAGATTATTTTCTGAGTCTGAGAATTCTCATTTTCCTTATCCCTAAACCATAGGCCAGAAGATTCTCACCCTCTGACCTAACTCCTAATTGGTCACCCTACCTCTGCCTATTGCATCACTAACGTGTGGTATCCACATAGCAGTTGTTGGTATCTTTCCAAAATATAAATCTCACCATGGCCATTTCTTTGCTCCAAATGTCATGAAAGCTTCATATCAAAATTCAAAGATGGCCTCCAACTCTCTGCATTGTATCTGACCCACCATTACATTTTCTATCTTCTTTCTAGAACTTTCTCCTCAGTCATTTGACAGTATCCAGGATGGACACTTAGAATCCCCCAAAAGGGCCAGTGTTGTTCACACATTTTATCCTCTCTACCCAGAATATTCCTGTCAAATTTTGTATGATTCTCTCTTCCATATTCTATTCTCTGCTCATGCCCCCTCCCAAGAGTCCTTTCCTTACCAGCTAACACCTCCTCCTCCCAACCTGTCCTCTCATTCTTCCTTTATAGAAGTGTCCACTCCTTAAGTTTTATTATGAAAGAGTTAAATGGACAAATTTTTTGCCCTGCTCGCAAGAATGTAAGCTTTGTGAAGTCAGGCAAAGTATATTACTCATCTCATTATCTGCAGTACCTCAAGCAGTGCCTAGAACAGAGATGGTGATGAATAAATGTTTATTAAATAGATGAATGCATGAGGCTATAAATCTTTACAGTGAAGGAGTCATTTTCTGCAAACATGTGCCATCATGATTTTATTTCCCATTCCCCCACAGTTATCAAGTTAACTACTAAGCAATTCACCATTAATGGAGAGTCCATAAGAAAGCCTCCAATTCAAGCTGTTAGCACGCAATGAATTATCCTGTACATTAGAATGCTTGGAACCTGAATGTCAAAGCTATTTGGTGGCAAGTTATTTACAGCTTTCAGACCACAGAGATAGTTGTATTCAAATGGTCTCATAATAGAAGAGTTCCTCAATGATCAAGTGTTAATTTTATTACTTTATAATCTGTAGGCAATATCTAATTAGGCCCCTGGGGATCCATGGCTGGGAGCGAGGCAACTGAAAGCCTTGGAGGCTGACATCATCATGAGTGTCTTTAGTGCATGAACGAGACTTTGTATTCAAAGAGCAATCTTGCTTTTCCCTTTCAGATCTGCTGTGCCTCACTTATGAATTTACAGTAATTGTCCCGTGTATATAATATCTATTTTTAAATTTTATTTACCTTATACAAGTTTTGTGTATTTCATATATACAGATAATAGGAACATTGGGATACTTCCCACCCACACTCCAGCCCTTCTTGCTCTTCCCTCTCCCATTCCCACTCTTAATTTTTACAAAGATCTATTTTCAGTTTACTTAATGATTGTATAGTTAACTCTACACTAAGTAAAAGAGTACAACAAACAGTATGAAGGAAAACAACACTGCTCCTTAATGGAAGAGACAAGGGCTGTAAACAATCATAG